CGCATAGTTTTCTCAACGGAAAATGGCTTCCCGCCCAAACCAAAAGGGCCAGTCAAAAAAAAATTCTGCAAAATGACTAAATCTAATAGGTTATTCTCCTGTATTTTGGCACCGTTAGATTCGCAATACATCAATGGCAGAGCTCCTTCCTACCATGCCACACGTGATAGAAAGCTCAGGCTCGGACCCCACCGGCCGGCGGCTGGAAAAGAGGTGTGGCCACGAAAAGAGGGCAAGTCATTTGGGAAAGTTGGAAAGTACTTCTTCCGGGACCCCACCGCCGAGGACCAATTGCTCTTGGAAAACCCTTCGCAAATCAGTTCAGCCAATCGCGTTTGTTTTGATCTTTTCTCCATTTTCTTTTATTGTTTTGTTGTGGCACTCTTCATCGCTATTGGCTGCTGCCTCCGGTGGGAACGCAAACCTTGCAGGTCCCCGATGCCAACGGCTGGCGCTGTGCCCTCCCTACCCTGTTGGAGGGCGTTTTGGAAAAGAGCGCCGGCCGTGGGCGGAGACTTTTCCATCTGCCAGCCATGTAGAAACACGGCTGGCGGTTCTTGGAAACGGCGGTGGGGTCTGAAATAGATGTCGCCAGACCTCTGGAAAACTTCCTGGCGGCCCGGTGGGGTCTGAAAACGCCCTTCCATGCGAAAACTTTTCCAGCCGCCAGCCGGTGGGGTCCGAGCCTCAGCGTTGAGAAAACTCAACGCTGTAGGTGGGACTAGACCCCTGGGCCCGCCTGTGGAGTCAGGCTGGTAGTTTGTAATAGGCAGTTGTGTCAGGTTCGGTACTGGTCCGTTCCCAGGTGCCACCCTGTCCGGTCCCACATCTTTTCATTTTCGGGGTACCGGCCTGTTCCGCGGAGCTTGATCAAGACAGCTTGTGATACGCAACCTCACGCCCCCTTGCGGCTTTCCGTACGGGGTCGCCGATCAGAGTTCTAGGTGGGTGGTGGCCGAGGATTTTTGGCCGTCAGGGTTGAGTCTCCCGGACGGAACGGGAGGCCCTCGTTTCATGCCAGAGGTTTTCCCCGGGGTCGAACTGTCGTCGCGAAGCCCCGTGGAGGTCGGATCACTCCGAACGATAAAATCAGGAAGGTTTTCGCAAAAACGAACTGCCGCCGTGTATCAGGACGGGAAAAGGCATCAAGGGGAAGGGGCCATGGCGGCGGAAAACAGAGACTCTGGCCGTCGTGGGTTAGGGGCATAGGTAGGGGGTTCGAAGCCTTCAGGCCTCGTCATCGGCCTCACGAAGTGACCGGACCGTCGGGTTGCTGCTGTAGAGGTGGTTGGTTCGAGGCCTTCACGCCTCGGCGTCGGACTCGCAAAGTCCGCGCGGAAGTTCCCGAGAGGTTGAAGCGGCGGGAGGATTCGCCGGCGTCCGAATTCGAAATTGCGTGGGCAGCGCCCCCGCACTACGGGAAAGCTCGGGGAAACGTGTCGCTCCCTCGTAACCCAGGACCAGTCGTCGCCAAGAACACGAGTCCCCCTGGCGACACCAGCGACAATCAAACTGCGGCCGCCACGAGGCGTGAGAGGCCGACCAGGGTAGCACGGTCAAACCCGTATAAGGTAATATTAGAGTCGGGGAATCAAAATGCTCAATCAAGACAAACCCGTTCCCCCTTATATCACAAGCCGAGGCGGGTCTCGCCAGCACACTTGCTCGGAAGTTGCTCCGTTCGCCTCAGCGCGCGCCATACGTCCGCATCGCAGTAGACGCTGTCGTCATCTATGATGGGGAAGGTCGGTAGCGAGATGAGACGATCGGAGGTAGGCGATGAACACGGGCAAGATCCCGCGCTCCCGGTCATCCGAACCAACATCGACTCCATACAACACYYGATGCAACCTTCTCTYTCAGGGTTAGTGCRTCGGAGGAARATGGCGAARTCRAAGYTYTCTTCTCCTTGCGGGGGCGTCGACCGCGTGCGCGGACGCAGGCGGTTGACGTCACCGGTACGGGGACGAGAAGCTCAAAAAGGAAGGCGGGAGAGAGAGAGAGAGAACTTACACTGAGAACGCGCGCGAAGGGCCGCGGAAGGGAGGGGAACAACGGGATTAACACACTCGTACTCCTAGGCAGACGGTCCCCCAGTTCAGTTTCCCCGTCCCCACCCGGACAAGTGCATACACGCATGCATGCATGCAAACAATCAACAACCCTTGACAGTACATCTAATCATCCATAGACCTTCAACATCACTCATGCGCACAACCAGCTCCCATCGCTCGGGACTTCACACACACGACATGCATAGACAAAGCAGCAATGGAGATAGAAGCATTGCAGCGGAGATCAAAGAGGAAGAGAGGAGAGGGTTGCGCAAATTTATAGCGCGGGAGGCGGCGGGTTGTCAGCGTGAGGTGCGGGCAGCGCAGGTTGTAGATGAGCAGGACAGGAGGAAGGTGGGGAGTTAGAGGGTTCGCCCCGCGGGATGGCATGGTCCTACGTGATTGCGGTGTCCGTTCAAGTGGCGCGCGGTTTCCCGCTCTCCACATTGATCCGAGCATCCCAACTACGCGGCCAATAACTTCGCGGGGATAGGATCGAGCTGGGCGGAGGGGAAGACGAAGAGTCCGGCATGGGGAAAATGCGCGCAGCAAGAAGGGAAGATGGCGCGGGGATGCAAAGCAAGAAACGGGGATGCGAGACGCACGAAGAGATCGGAGCTTGGGCGTGCGCGCGCAAAAAATTCAAAAAGTCCCAACCGCCCCCGTTTCTTGGTTTTCATACCGCGGCCCTGCTATTCGCCCGGCGGGAGTTATTAACCAAACAAAATGAAAAAGTCTTTTCAAAAAGAAAACAAAAGCAGAAAGAAAGAAAAACCCCTTTCTGTCCGTGTCCGTACTTTGGGGCTTCCGTGGGATTTTGCCTCAGGGATACGGGAAGCCGCGCGGTACGGATCTGAGCTTATCACAAGCTTGTTTTTTTTTTTTTTTTTTTTTTTTTTTTTTTTTTGGTTTGTTTGAAGAAACTGCCCGAACAGCTGCTACGGGTGCTGGTCTTGGATAGATGATGATAGAGTCAAATTGAATATTAGGAATTTAAGGATTGGTAGATGTAAGTGTAGAAGTGGTCCCCAGAAACTTTCGTGTTATCTTCCTAATTTAGGCTAATTATTATCTTTGTAATTGAAGCTGGCTTAGCTGGGTAACGGCTTAGGTCTTTCACAAGTGTACCTTTAACTTTCATATTATATTCTTCTGATGTAATCAGGGACGCTGGGACCGGTTCCCAGCAGGTGCTGCTAACCACGAATAGATCCGGGGCAAGGTCCCACTTGCACGGATTAAGAGATTCTGGCCGTTGTCAATATGATCGTCTAATTCGTGTAAGTGGGACCTAGCCCCGGAGCTTTACAATTAAAAAAAAAAAAAAAAAAAAAAAAAAAAAGAAAAAAAAAAAAAAAGGAAAAAAAAAAAAAAAAAAAAACTGTGTTTCATCGTACACCTGGGTCACCGTTTCTGATCAGAACAAGTTGGTTATGACCAGCCACCTCTGAGACCGCAGTACAGCTCTTGGACTGTACTGAGTAGCGAGCTGTGTTACCAGCAAACTCAAAGATAAGGCCGGATTTGGGCAGGTCTCATCAGTGGGCGGCGCCTGGGGCAAAATTGCCCGACTGCCTGAAAAAAAAATTGAAACTTTAAAGTTTGACCCCCTTTTTGGTGTCGCCCCCGTACCCCCTGCAGGTCACCCACAGTGCAAGTTCACCCACTGAGGTGGCGGGCGACTTTGGTAACGTAGGGGCCTCGCCACACCTCGCCACACCACTGTCGAAACGAAAACAGGAAGAATGCATCTTGCCCAGAAAGCCCTAAGATGCGTCCGTTCGCTCATAACCAGGAGCCTCCTGCACATATGTGAGGGACGCTGGGCCCGTTTCCCCGTTTGTATAATATGAAACAGTGCAGTTTTTGGTAAGATGCATCGGTTGCTATTCTTAGTAACGGATGCATCTTGCCACGATCTGAGTGAAGATGCACTCGAACTTTTTTCGTTTCTAAAGGCTGTGTGGCGAGCCTCTAGGTAGGGAGAGGTGCTGGAGCAAGCTTGATGTTACATTCTTATCAGGCGTAGTACATAAATCTCTCTCTCTCTCTCTTTTTTTTTTCTTTTTTTTTTCACTTTTTCAAATGCTCCAGTCTATTCGTGGGTAGTAGATAAATCTCATGTACATAAATCTCATGCAACATGCAAGCCATGTGAAAAACACGCAATCCAGGAAATGGATGAAACCAGACAAAGGGATGAAGGGATGGAGAAGAAAATGAAGAAATGGGTAAATGAGGGCAACGCCCTCAAGCGAAACTACCTGGGTAAATCTCCCACCGGTTTTACTGTCTTATTTCATGCTGTTGTTTATGAGGGACAGCTGGACCCGGGGCTAGGTCCCACTTACACGAATTGTTAAGCGATATTGACCGTAGATAGCAAAGATCAACGGCCAGAGTCTCTTAATCCGTGCAAGTGGGACCTTGCCCCCGGTTTCCAGCAGGTGAAGCTCCCCACCAATTGACTGGAGTCATGGTTCAGGTATTCACAGGAGGTTCAAAAAACAAAAAAAAGAGAAGAAAAACATGATGCCAAAGCAAAAAAACAAGGGTAGTCCTTCGGGTCCCGTTAAAATTGGAACGATACAGAGAAAGAAGATTAGCATGGCCCCTGCGCTTTCAAGGATGACACGCATAAATAGAGAAATGGTCCAAAAAACAAGGGTTACCGTAGTTACAAGGGTAGTTCTGTGGTTGTCTGTGTGACTTACCTGTGGCGTGTGCGCGCACGTTGGGGTACCTGCTGCGCCTGGCCAATTTTTGTAGGAGTCCGGCCACGGTCGGGCTCCAAAAAAAAAAAAAAAAAAAAAAAAAAAGGGAAAGATAAATTGCAAAAACATAGGGTTTTTTTTTGTTTTTTTTGTTTTTTTTTGTTTTGTGGCCCGA